GTGGAAGGAGATGTGATGATGAATGCACAGGAACTGCAGGCATGCCAGTTGCGTTTTTGACAGAGCGAGCGAGACGGAGAGAGATTTGAACTGCCATTTGATGCAGCCAAAGCCTTTAACGCAGCTGCTCATTTTTTTGATGACCTCAAAAGCTCTTCAGCAAGGACATGAGCATTTGTTTGAAGCAGTTTCCTGACTTGGAGTATTTGTCCGTCTTTGCAACAATCCCTGACCGCTCATCGGACTGCTCATGACACGCAACTCAACCATGCAGATCAAGAGTCACACAAAGTCCAGCGTGACCAAAAACGCCATGCACTACACATGGATATCGGAGTTTGCCACGGGCAGATTAGCAGTGAACGTGGGTGCGTGTGCGTGTGGAAAGTCGGCACCTTGCCCCATGAGCTCTTCGTGAATGTCCATCACTTTGCAGGCGAATATTTGTGTGAACTTGGCTTAGTCACAATCAAAACCCGGTATCAACATTGTTTACCCAAAACCATGTAAAGAGTTAAGAAGGCGGATATCCGCAGCCATTTATGGTTGGGGTTGTCCCTTGCCCTCCAATAACCCGGGTTTTGATTGTGACTCAGTTGTCCTACTGGCATATTCTGATCCAAATACTTTGTGGGAAGGTTGCTCATGGCTGCAGCACCCGAGGGAGAGGCAGGGCTTCAAGCAGACAGGACTTAAGGAATATTTGCTTGTGTGCAAGGCGGGCAAGGCTGATGATGAGGTCAGCGATTATGGAGATGACGATGGCATGCAATGGTAGGGCACTTGATTGGTGGCAACGTTGAACACAGCACACACCTACATCCTACAGCTCGCTCGCAAGTTGTTGTTTTAGGTACGCAACTGCGGCTGCTGGTCTGGGGGAAGAGCCGGCTACGGCTGGTCCAGGGGAAGAGCCTGCTCCTGCTGGTGCAGGCGAAGAGGACTTGCGGCCAAGTGATGGATACATTATGTGAGCATTCCATGATCTTTTCCAGTGCCAGGATTCTCCTGTCGAGGCTGGCTAGCCGCAGAATGAAGCGAACATGACAAGCATCACTCGTGAAGCTGTTTGCAAAGCATGGTGTAGTCATCACTTATTTAGGGGGACGTCAAGTGCTTTGGCCGAGGCTTGCACAAGGTGAATGACATGAACACCGACTCTTTGCCTGCAGCGTTAGCTCTGGCTCATGCAGCGGTCTTTTCCGGAGTTCATTTTGGATGCACTCAGTGTAGACTGAAAGGCCATGACCCAGCTTTGACGGTGTCATGGCTGGCCGTCGGCGATTGTTTGCGGCTGGTCTGTTGCTGGCAATCGCTTTTCACGGGAGAGTTCCGACTCTTTGGACCTTTGCTTTGCAGCGGCTTTGCATTGCCCCGCCGCGAGTGGAGACTCTTCAGGAGGTTCTGGAACGCCAAGGCTACCTGAGATGCGGGTCCTTCGACAAAGCCGACGCGCAGGCCCTCCACGACACAATCTGGAACTATTGGCCCCGGCACTATGGCATCTCGCTCTGTGATCCCAGCACCTGGAGAGAAATGGGGCAGAGAGAGGGCAAGCGCTCCTACAAGCCGGCGTTCCCTGCGTTGGTGACCTCCAGAGCGTGGCAGTCCATGGTGGCTCGGATTGACCGGGCGTGCGGGGAGACCTTCGGAGGTCGCTGGAGGTGCAAAGAGCAGGTGGCAACCGTGCTGGTGAGCTGTCCAGGTTTGGATTGGAGGCCACCGACTTCTTGGCACACGGACGAGGAGCTGCAACCATTGCAGGACGAGCCGGAGAACTACCTTGTTTTCGCACTCTTGGATGATGTGGCACCAAAAGGCGGTGCTACCATGATCCTTTCGGACTCCGTCCGGCAGGCCAAACTGTACAACCGAACCTTCCCTCTGGGAGGATCGGACCTGAAGACTGTGCTTGCGGAGGATGACAGCTTTTGTCGGGCGCTATTCTCTGCAAGTCCAGATCAGACAGAAGACATGGGCCGAAACCCAAAAGCTCCGCTATCAGCGCATGAGCTGTTTGGGAGTTCTGGCGATCTCACCATTTGGGACCCGCGGGCGCTTCACACTGCAACTGCTAACGCCAACGATCGACCGCGAACAGCTATTCGTCTGGCCCTGGAGAGTGTGGCTTGAACCCGTTTTTTCTTTGTCGAATGTGCCAAGAGCGCAACATTCTGATCCAGATGCAACACAGAGAGCAAATCTCTCCAAAGCCAGTAATAGAAACTAATCCAGATCTTAGCAATTTGGTGCATTCTGCAATACCGGCCTCTCGCGACAGCAACACCCGGAGAGTGCAACGGACACATTTTAATCTGGTGCACTGTCCCGCCCAATACCAATACCCAGTGCTGCCCGTTTTATTTATCTATTTTAATGCAGCCCGTTGGATGAGGCCTCAGTGAAGAAAATGCCAAGCAGAAGAGCGGACTCGTGTCAAGTTTGTCATCGCAACTTACTGCCGCACATGGGTGTGGATCAAAACTAAACCACCAGGGGACCCCAGGTTTTAATCCTGGGTTCCATTTACCAGGGTTCCATTTTGGGTACCCATTTTTGACCCATATCGCTGGTTGCTTACTCGAGCCGCAGGACGCCGTTGCGGATGATCCCTACCAGCTAGCGCCAAGGACTCAGCATGATGTTTGAGGGGTGATCGCGAAGAGCCATGCCCTTCTTTTTTTTCTTCTTTTTCTCCCCGCGTGCAGAAAGAGCTCGATGGGACGCATTTCCAGTATTTTTCTCCAACTGTCCTAGCACAAGTTGGTTTTTGGACCCTAGGTCCGAGGTTCTTGTCACTTATAGTATCAGAAAGAACGCGCGCTGCACATTCGTTCTTGAGAACTGAACCTGTTTGGACAGCAGACACGCTTTGTTTCCCTGCTGGAAGCATTTCCCAAAATACGACATAGAGTGAGAGCACTCATGCATTTGTCTGGGTCTGTTTGATTCAGTTTGTGCTGGAAGGACATCAACCTTTAGTACAAGGCCACTAAACTTGTTCAACAAAATTGATTCTGCTGGGGGCTGAGATGAGCAATTGAGCCACAATCAAAACCCGGGTAGGTGACGGTCAGTACGGGATAATCCCAGCCAGACATAGTTGCGGTCTTTTCCTTTTGTTTTTCTTACATGGATTTGGGTAGGCCATTTCAATGCCAGCTTTTGATTGAATGGCGACTTGATAGACTCCTGGGCCCACCCGATTTCCTTCTCGTGCCATTTTGGGGAGCGGGAGTCCTTGGTTCAGGATACCACCATTCCAACTGCATCTCATTTCCCCGCAAGGTCCGATCCATATCAGCTGCTCGACGAAGAGGAGGCGCAAACTCTAGCAGGTTAGACATTCGTCGCATGCTAGAGCTTCTAGGCATGCAACGACACGATGTCTGAATGAGGTGGATCGTTTGCGCACATATCGATGTACAGTTTTTGCCAGGTACAGGCAACTGCTGCACCAGATGAAGTGACTCCTGTGCTCCTGGCAATGATGCGTTCGATTTTGAAGTAGCTTTCTGCCTGCCAGGCAGTGGAAGGTCAGGAGAGCAAGAGATCATCTGAGAAGCCAGTGCCGAGCCAGCGGCCCACCAAAGTGCCAAAAACTGCCAACACAGCTCCCGATGCCTTCCCGGAGTTTATGTCCGTGGCGGCAACTCCAAAGCCCAAAGCAAAGCTTACCATGTCAGCATTGCCGCTGAAGCAACTTGCAGAAGTTTTGCACGTGCCACCAGCTCCTGAGGGAGAGGCAGGCACATGCCGTGCACATTTTCCGTGTGTGACTTGATGCATGCAGCACACAACTTGGTATCAGGCATCGAAGCCTTGGGCACCAAGCTGGCTGTCCGAGGAGAAGGAGCCAGATGCGAATCCGGTGGACACCATGGCATATGCCACGGAATCTGCCGCTCATATCATCTATGATTTGTATGGCTGCTTTCTTTGCTTTCTTTGCTTTCTTTGCTTTCTTTGCCCGTGAAGGGTTCTGATCCCGAGGTGCCGGAAGCGGATGCATACCCCGAGGACGCAAGCTCAGAGTGCATCAAGTCGCGGGGGCTGGGTTTTGTGGCGCCAAGGATTTAGGCGCCGACCAGGCAGCAATTTTCGCCAATTCCTTGGGCACTGGAAGCCTGGCCTGGCCAGGTGCTGTCTTGGGATGAGCGTTGTGTTGTTGTGAAGCAGGGCCAGGCGAGGGAGAGACAGAGAACACATCAGGGAGCGAGAGGACATGGTGGTCAGGCAAAAGGTTGCCGCGTTTGCATTTGAAGGTTCACATAGAGTTGCAGCGACGCAAGCCTCCCATGGGCAATGCTGCTTTGCCTTGGCCTTGGCAACAGCAGTGCTTGCACCATGTGTTATAAGCAGGTTTGAGAGGTTTGGGTGTTGGAACACACAGAAAACACAATTTTGAGTACACTGCACAGCGCCAAGCTGTGGAGCTCAAGGCTGCGATTTTGTGATTGGCTAGATGAGCAGATGCCGCTTGTGGTCCGCCCCTTGATCTTGTGCAAGAAAATTGAGGCGTCGTTTTTGTGCACAGGTGCAGCACTTTCCTTATGTGAAGAAAAGTGGTGCCTACGTGGCCGGAAGCTAAGGTTCAGTGTCATGTGGGTGCAGCAAATATTGTTGGTTGGTAAGGTATGATACTCTGACAAAGGTTTTGATTTCAAGCCGAGCCATCTTGAGAGCATCGACTCAGGACCTATCTGACAACGAAATTGGCACTGATGGCCTGGACAAGCTATTTCAGGCCTTGTCCAAACTTGTAAACTGTCAGACTGACACTTGACAAACATCTTGATCAGGTATTGAGAGACCATCGTGTGCCATGTGTGGTGTTGAAGGCGTACCGAAATTCAATTGACGCTGCTTAGTTGCACAGAGCTCGCCTGTGAGTGCTGACTCGGATTGCTGATGCTCAGGATTCCTTTGTTGATACCCTGGTTGAGTACCTTTACACCCAGCCAGAGGCAAGATCAGCCAAGCTGAGCAAATCAAAGTCATTCGTTGCTTGCCAAGGCATTTCCCATGCATGGCATCCACATCTCTCACAACAGCGTCCGCAGCTTGATCAAGACACTGCATTATGTTGGCTGGCAAGCAGATGCGGGCAGTAGCAGAGATCCATGCAGTCTCTTGCCAGATCTCCGACAAAGGGGCTTTCCGCCTGATCCGTGCGGCATGAGTCCAAGACACTCCTTTGCCGCAACATTCATGGCAGACGTTAAGAGTGGCATTTGTAGCAGTCACAATTTGGCATGGAGGCCGCGCAGTGCGGACATTATCCTCGCCTGACGACCCGCTTGCCTCTTTGGCTGCGACTGGAGGTGTGAGGGCCAAGGAAGGTTCAAACAATTTCGGTCACCGGCAGGTGAACTCCTTGGGAAATCCGCAGAAGGCCTCGCACTTTGCGATTTGTTCGTCGAGGTGTGGTCCTGATTTCACTCTTGCGAGCACAGGTCATCGCAGAGGCAAATGATGAGGGCTTCCACGTGTGCCTCATGCAGCCCGAGCCTTGCATCACCTGCGTTTGTTCCCCCTTGCTACCTTTGCCCCTCCCCCCGTTGCGCCCCCCTTGACCCCCCTTGCCCCCTTGCATGCTGGCACCCTTTGCACCCCTTGCACCCCTTGCTCCCCACTTCAGGGATGGCCTTTGCAGCAGAGACAACTGCGACCATTATTCTGGGGTGCACGCGCGTGGCCAAGAGTGATGCGTCAGATCTGGACATACATGGCCCTGGGTCAAAATCAATGGTACCCATTTGGGGGTAGGTGCACCACCCATTTTAGTCTATTTTAGTGGGGCTTGGGATGTTCACTGGGGGTACGGGCTTTTGACCCATGTCCACATGCAGATTGTGAGTCGCAAGGTGCAGCTGCCATACTTCCTGAACCAGCCTGCCAAGGCGCGGTGACGTCAGTGACTGCCTGCGGCACCTCTCCTTAGCACCTGCTAGGGCCTGGCAAATCTGGAGCAGTTCGGCTTCAGTCAGCCGTGGACGGGGCCGTATTCTTCAACGCAGGGCATTTTGGCACCGAAGGTGCACTGAGCATTTGCATAGTCTCCAGCCGAGCGACTGGTGGACAGGCTGGATCACTTGCTCCAGAAGTCGACACGCCCTGATCCCAGCAGCTTTAGTGCTGGAGTTGCGGATTTTTGTACGCCGTCAGCTACTATCCCCCTCGGCATGTGCATCTTCTTTTCCAAGCAGTTTTGCACACTGAAGGGTTCTTACAGTTGCAGTAGGGCAGTGTTAGATCAAGGTTTTGCCTGGCGCCCGACCTTTCCACCCGAGCTGGCGCACTGCAAGTCTTGAACACTAAAGCTCCTGGCTGCGTTGAATTGCTCCCGCTGTGGCGTGGTGTGAAGTTCAAAGACACAAAGCGATCCCTTACACCGCGCTCTGGCTGTCTTGGATTGCTATCGCCGTGGCGTGTCGTGGTGATTTGTTGAACATCAAACACGAGCCCTTTGCGGACCTTGGCTGTCGCCGTTGGCCTCCAAGTGTTCGTCGCTGTGGCGTACTCGTTTTGAATTCGCTCGCAAAACTCTGAGTTGCTTCCAAGGGCCCTTCGCCGGGATTCGGTACAGAAATACTTTCAAGAGATCTTGTAACGGGCCTCCACAGGACCTTCTGCAGAGCTCCGCTTGTAGGGATCCTACGAAAAGAAATTGTTGTAAAGAGGATCCTGCCAAGATCCTGAGAGGGAGGCTTGTACAGAGTTCCTGCGAGGATCTTCTAAAGCAATCTCATGATCTTTTGTAAAGATCCTCTCAACAGATCTCGCACTCGCACGGAAGGAAGTTCGGACAGCCAAGTCAGAGATCTTGGCGCAGGGATCTAGATCTTGTGAAGGTCTTTTTAGGAGATCTTTTGCAGAGATCTTGTCAATATCCTCAAAACGATCTTGTACAGAGATCCTGTAAAGATCTAAAGAGACATTGGGCTCAAAGCTAATCGCAAAACCTTGAGCAAGACCTTTCACAGATAGATCCTGAGAGCAGGAGTACCTCTAAACAACTTGCGCAGGACCTTCACTGGAGATTCCTTATAAAGAAGAGTTCCTGTGCAGCACCTTCATAGAGGTCAGAGATGCTGTGCCTCACCATGCCTCACCGCTTGTGTAAATCCCACCAAGAGATCTTGCGCAAAGCCTTCCATGGTGGACAGGGGATTCAGGTAGACTTACAGGAGTCATATAAATGCATATAGACATAATATACATACATATAAAGCTCTGTATGTGTGCTTTGCATCATGCGTCTTTGCCTCGATTTCGCATGTGCTGACAGCAAATGTGAGGTCCTTGATTCCTTTTCACACTCTTTGCTGTTCTGTTTCCGGCGGTCCGGGATGTCACCCGCCTTGGCGTCCTTTGTGTTTGCCTTGCTGAGGTCTGGCGCTTCTGTCGTGGGAGTCACAATGAAGGCTTTGCTGCTTTGCTTGTTTGGATGCTTTTGATTCGGCATGGAGAAGTTGCAATTCGTTTGCGCGACACAGCTCACAGCTTACCTGTTGAGGCAGCTCCACCCAGTAAACCACGCACCTCTCTTAGAAGGGAAGCTGTGCATTGTCAACAGTAATGCGACTCTTGTGGCTTAGTGAGCTTGCTTTGCGAGGCCAGCCTGATTGGAACTCTCAGCAGGCAGGAATCGCGTTGCTGTCGTTGCTGTGTTTTACCATTGTCTTCGAAAAGAAGGGAGCACGTGTGCGCTCTGAGCGAGCCTCCAAGGACTCTAAGGGAGGGCGTGGCTGGAAAGGACGGAAAGCAACCGCACTTGCGTGAGCTGCACTTGTTACCATGCAACTTAGAGGAGGATGGAACAATGGCAAAGGCGGAGGGAAATGGAATGGAGGAGGCGGAGGAGGCGGAGGAGGCTAGCTATGCTTCCAATCTTGGCTGTTCATGCGAGAGCTCGCAGGCCGAGGTCGAATGTGGCAAGGCAAAGCATTGATTGCCAAGGCGCTCCGCACATGGATGAAGTCAGAACGGGCGCCAAATTTCTTTGGCCCGAGGTGAAGAAGGACGTGAGGCTTCCAGAAGGCCAAGGTGACTTGGGCTTTCAGTGGAGGCGAGCGAGAGCGCAGTGCATGCCAAGAGATTTGGCACACCCGCGCCAGGTATGTGGGGGACGGTAGAGCCCCGAGGATAACTTCCACATCCCCCAGCTCAATGGTTGGCCGCATGGCGAAGGCCGTGAATCTCATTCTTTCGGCGCGGCTTCATCTCAGCCGAGGTGGGCGACTGCTTGCTCAGAGTCAATGGCAGGGGGCCTGAAAGATTGGCGCCTGCGGGACTTGGGAACTGGCGTCTGTTTTTTTGCTTGTCTTCATTGTGAGTTATTCCCGTTGCCTGAGGCAAGGTGTTATGACTTCAGTTGTGACGGATGTCTATATATTCCGTCTCATCTCATTTGTTTGCAACTTCTTGCCTCAACGCATGTTGTCCACTACTGCCGTGCCTTTCTCATTCCTGACACCATTCCTAGCCATATGTTTGCTTTGTCTTCTCGATTCAAAGTGTTTTCTTACGGCCTGATGGTGCAAAAAGCACAGGACAGGACACCCCCACATGCACAGGATTCTTGCTCGGAGGAATAGACTTCGCAGCACGAAACTCGTTTTCTCTTCATCTCCTTGCTATAAGGCCCACAAACGCACCAACACAGATGTTCAGCATGATTTCTCCTGTATCTGCCACTATCCTTCCAAGCAAGAGACAGCAAAGATACAAGATGCCGTGTTTGCAAAGCGGACCACGACTTCCTTTGAAGGCCATTCTGTTCCGCAACCGCAAGGATTGCTCGGAAGCAAACACTTTGGTTGGTGCAGAACACACTCTTATCAGGGGACATATTTGTGTTTCTCGCGTCTCTTTTTGACAGATAGGACATCCTCCTGCTTACGTGTCTATCACGCTCACTTCCGCAAGACTCCTGAGAGTGCAAACGTCTAGTTTTGTACTGCGGATCGGCTTAGATGTAGGCAGCTTCGCACAGACACAGAAATGCTTTTCACAGGACATAGGCAGGCACGACACTGACAGGAGGCAAGCAGGCATGATATGTTTTGATGATCAACTGATATCATATGAGGTGTGCTTGTGACACGAAGCACAACCTGTTTGGTCCTGCAACTCGTGTTTCTACAATCTAGCAAGGGTATATAGTAGGGGAAAACGTTTGCTGTGTCGGTTTTATGAAAATAACACTTCCTACCCACGTCAGAGTGAGGCTTGGATATGGCCATGATGAGCGAGAAGCAAGTCACAGACCTTCTGAGACAGAGACCGCTCGAGCTGCGGTTTGGGGATGAGTAGTCCTCGCTTGTCTCACAGGAAGTTCATGCAGGAGTATGAACACTGTGCGATGTTAATGAATCTGCCTCATCGTTCAGGAGACTGATGTCATTCTCAGCTCCGAAGTCGAATGATGTGAGTGCAGCAAGTGTATTGGAGAAAGACCCAAGATCAGCTCCGCAAACATTTAACTGGGACCATGAGCTCCACATCTGACGACGTGAGTTCCGTGGAAGCTTGGAAGGAAGTTCTTCGCGGCGTGCTGCTCCAATTGGTGGGCGAGGCAATGGGCTTGGTGCACGAAATGGGAGGGTCAAGAAAGGGAGCAAGCCAAGCCCCGCTTTGACCAAGGTTCAAGATGTAGAATTGGTGTGTACTAGATGCAAGCCCAGCGCGCCGACATATGCCTTTCCATCTTTGGAAGGCGGGCGGCGACTGCTTGTTAGTCTCTGCGTGGAAGCGAGCCAGGTAGCTTTTTCGGAGCCTATGCTGATCCAACGACTTGGGACGGCTTGGAATTCGCCTTCAAGGTTTGATCCTTGAAATTCTGGAACTCGTGTCACATTTGGACCCCTTGTCAGGTTGTGGCTTCTGATCTGAATGACCTGGAGCCGGTGCGAGAAACTCTTTTGCTCGAGGCTCGCGGTGATTTTCTGGGAGGTAGCAGAGTAACACACTTATAGTCATGTAGCAAGCCACAGGCAGTCCTGAACAGACTTTGCAAATGGGAACAGTCTTTGAACAACACGATGACGATAATGACAATGACAACGATGATGATAGGGACAGTGACCAACCCTTCCCCCGCAACCCCCCTTACCGGTCGGTGGACATGATCCTGGTTTGCGCTTGTAGAACATTTGCCGAGACATTTTGGCTTCCAGATATCAGAAAGGGGGCAAACTCTGACCCAGAAACGCAGGTCTGATATTCCCTCCATTGTTTGGCGCCACCAATTTGGGGCGACATCCCCGCGCATCCCAACCGCGCCTCGACAAGTGGGTCACAACGGGGGGGGGGAGGGGGGGAGGGGGGGAGGGTCACAATGACTAAGGGTAGAGGGGGGCTAGAACCTGGAACATATATGCAATCTCATGAACATCTGGCAAAGTTCGGTCGATACATCAATACCGACCTTTTATTGGTTTTGATTTTCCTATATGTATATATGTATATTAATATATATATATATATATACACATATATATGTATATATTAATATGTGACTTTTGACTCACACGATCTTCGGTGAAGAGCTTTTCCTCTCGGCGGCGCAGGGATGGTGCTGGAGCTCCAGGTCCAAAAGCCCCCGCCGGGCAGGCGACGTCGACGGGCGACGGGAGGTCGAGGGGCGGTCGAGGGGAAAAGGGGCGCTGGAGGAGGACGGTCGTTTCTTTCTTTTGTGGACTGGGGACCTTTTTGTTTTTTGTTTTGTCGGATCCGCCATTCGGATCCGCCACAAAAACTTTTTTTCTAGTCGAACCCCGAACCAAATGGAGGTGAAATGGAGACCCGCAGAGCAGGTTAGGCCCCCCGCAAGCAATCTGCACGTCGCAAAGCTTTCGTGTCATCATTTCAGGTTGGTGAGTTAGATGGTGGCTTCTCCAATCGGGACGCCAGAACTGCAAGTTTCCTGGTTCTGAATGAGCGCGGTTACCATCGTGCGACAGCATTGCAATCAGTGCCTTTCAGTCTTTGGTTGATCCGCTGAGAGCCCAGCCATTGCTAAGCCCCGACACCTGGCCTTTGGGATGCGCTCGCAGGGGATTGAACGTTTCTCAAAACATTTGGGGGGGAGAAACCTGCAAACTCTGAAGCTGGACCCTCAGCCGGGGTTTCCATTGCATTGAGCTTGGCAGGCCTGCACGCTCATTACATGCAGGCATGCCATTTTGGAACTCACAGTGGCTGGATTCTTGTTCCCACCCGACCCATGAAGGTCCGGCGTTCGGCTTTGCAGACTGGAAGGCTTCTAATCCAGAAGTTGGCCCCCGTGTCGACCCCTGTGGGAGTTCCCTATCGCGCTTCGGCCGTGGAAGAATCGCAGAGGCTCCACCTTCAGAAGGATTCCCAAAACGAAATCCCCTGAGTTCAGGGTTCTTACGTTCCCCCAGTAGTGCCCCTTTACCCTTTTTTTGGGGAGGGTTCCCCCAACTAAAATAGGCTGCAGAAAAACGGGTACCCTTATTCAAACCTCTCTACCGGAGGACCTAGGTCATGAGCAGCCGGCAGAGATAGGTTGAGAAAGTTGAGCAGGGCGAGCCCCTATTTGACCCGACGCAAGGACTGAATGACATCTGGCTTTCAATGCCACTTCGGAAGATTCAACAGGAGGTTCCGCTCGGCGGGGAACCCTTCCTCCAACATGCTCTTGCTATGTCGCCCTTTCCAAAAGCCGCGTTTAGCGGCAGCGCACCAGGGTTCCATTTTCCAGGATCCCAAGCTCGCCATGGTTCAAAACCAATGGTACCATTTTGGGATAGGTGCACCACCCATTTTAGTCTATTTCAGTGGGGATTTGGATGTTCACTGGGGTACGGGGTTTTGACCCATGGCCAGCTGCCACCAAAGGGGTTTCCCAAGTGCTTCGGTAAAGGCGGGCCTCCATGCGCGCCACGGAGCCGGTGAAGCCCAACATGTGGCAGAGCCTTGGGCGCTCGCTGGCGCGTTGGGCGGGCATGTTTGGGAGAAGCGCCACGTGGGTGTGTCTCAAAATGAAGGAGCCAGGGGAAACCGCTAGTCTCTGGTTCCATTTACCTTTTGGCACCATTTTGGTACATGAATTTGAGCCACAGCCATGTGGCTATGAATTGCCCGACTTATGACACGACTTGGGGACCTATGTCCACCACTTGTGAGGGTGTTAACCCAGATTGGCCCATAGCTGAGGTCGTTGGGGAAAAAAACATTTTAACAGGTAAGGGTTTCTCGCGCCTGTCCCATGACGCGAGCTACCTATGGCTTGCTTCTGGCTTCCCTTCTCATCATTTGGGGATGTCCAAAGTAGGCACCTTCTACGATCCCTTGGTGCCAGGATTTTTGTTTGGGCCTCTCCTAAGTGAGAAAAGGGCTTTGCAACCATTTTTTCTTGGGTTTGGTCCATTGAACCTGAGTTTCAGTCATGGCACAAAAGCTTTCTCCCTACTTGACGCAGTAGTACATACAAAACCATTTTGGGGGATACGTCTTGGGGACTTGCCCATGAGAATGCATGTTAACTTCGCCGTAATAAACACGGATACAAGCGGGTCATAAACTCGTGGGGACGTCAAAATGACTGGTTTTCTTTTGGTGCAGCAATATCCAAAGTGAGGAAGGGCCTCAATTTTAGAATCCTTAGAAGGCAAGACGCAAGAAACCACACTTGGGGGTCCCTATTTTTAGAACATGCTCAAAAAATCCGGTTTGCTGATTGGATTCTTTTAGCGCGAGTTGACTCGGTGATTACACCCTTTTTAAACTGCTTGGAAAGGCATTTGGAGTGGGGCTGTAATAATTATCGAGACTTTTGCATCACTGTTTTGCCACTTTGCCCACTTCTGGCTTCCACGCCCCCAGAATGACGTAGTGCCGGCGAATCCTACAAGGGTCCCTTTGTTTCCTATTTTTGCATGGTTTGAACCTCATTTTTTTGCTAGTACGTGTCCTTTTGGTGCTTGCTAGATTGGCATACAGGTAGGCTCCGACGCCCTGCCCAAATCCCCTTAGACTCGCGATTTGAGCGACTCTCATTGGGGCCGAAGGCGGCCGAGGGTGCTTTTTTTTTTTTGCTTTCGGAAGGGGGTTGCCTCATTTGGCTCTGAAATCTCGCCCCCGTACAACATGGAATTGGGCGACCACCGTGGTCCCTCTTCTTTGGAGGGTATGGCCACCGCTCTCAGGATGTCGGAGGATCTGCCGTCGCCCATGGCATCCCCAAGGGCGGCGCCCGTGGGGAAGGCGCTGGCCGGTTGCCATCTTGGGGGGCCTCTCAAATGCAATTTTCTCATTTGGATGTACCACAAAACAACCAATCAAGACCAAACACACACACACAAACAAACAAACAAACGAACAAGCGAACGAACAAACGAACCAACGAACCAACGAACCAACGAACCCACGAACCAACGAACCAACAAACCAACGAACCAACGAACCAACGAACCAACGAACCAACGCACCAACGAACCAACGAACCAACGAACCAACGAACCAACGAACCAACGAACCAACGAACCAACGAACCAACGAACCAACGAACCAACGAACCAACGAACCAACCAACGAACCAACGAACCAACGAACCAACGAACCAACAAACCAACGAACCAACCAACGAACCAACGGACCAACGGACCAACGGACCAACCAACCAACCAACCAACCAACCAACCAACCAACCAACCAACCAACCAACCAACCAACCAACCAACCAACCAACCAACCAACCAACCAACGGACCAACGAACCAACCAACGGACCAACGAACCAACGAACCAACCAACCAACCAACCAGCCAGCCAGCCAGCCAGCCAACCAACCAACCAACCAACCAACCAACCAACGAACCAACAAACCCACGAACCAACGAACCAACGAACCCATGAACCAACGAACCAACGAACCAACGAACCAACGAACGAACCAACGAACGAACGAACGAACGAACCAACCAACCAACGAACCAACGAACCAACGAACGAACCGACGAACCAACGAACCAACGAACGAACGAACCAACGAACCAACGAACCAACGAACCAACGAACCAACGAACCAACGAACCAACGAACCAACGAACCAACGAACCAACGAACCAACGAACCAACGAACCAACGAACCAACGAACCAACGAACCAACGAACCAACGAACCAACGAACCAACGTCCAACGAACCAACGAACCAACGAACCAACGAACCAACGAACCAACGAACCAACGAACCAACGAACCAACGAACCAACGAACCAACGAACCAACGAACAAACGAACCAACCAACCAACCAACCAACAAACAAACAAACAAAGCAAGCAATCAAACAAGCAAAGAACAAACAAAGAACAAACACAAAGAACAAAAACAACCAAAACAAAACAAAACAAAACAAAACAAAACAAAACAAAACGAAACGAAACGAAACGAAACGAAACGAAACGAAACAAAACAAAACGAAACGAAACAAAACAAAAGAAAGCAAAGCAACGCAAAACAAAACAACACAAAACACAACACAACAAAACAAAACAACACAACACAACACAACACAACACAGCACAGCACAGCACAGCACAGCCCAACGCAACGCAACGCAACGCAACGCAACGCGAGGCGAGGCGAGGCGAGGCGAGGCGAGGCGAGGCGAGGCGAGGCGAGGCGAGGCGAGGCGAGGCGAGGCGAGGCGAGGCGAGGCGAGGCGAGGCGAAGCGAGCGAGCGAGCGAGCAAGCAAGCAAGCAAGCAAGCAAGCAAACAACTACACAAATAAGCCAACAAACAAGCCAACAAGCAAGGAAACAAGCAATCAAGCAAGCAAGCAAACAAACAAACAAACAAACAATCCTGCCAACCAAACCAAACAAACACACCAAGACAAACAGGCCACAAGCAAGTAAGCAAGTGTGCTTGTACTCCACCCCGCCAGTTGCCTTGTCCAAAAGCCACAGCCCTCAGCATGCTTTGGTGCACATTTCAGCAGATTGCCTTCCTTTGGCGAAGGGGGATCAAAAGCCTTTGTTGAAAGGGGTTCCTGCGCGCCAAGAGCCTTTGTTGAAAGATCAAAAGTCCGTTGCTTGTCACGTGCGATCCATGGTGAAGTTGCCGCATTCCTGACTTCCAGGTCTCAGGCAGATGAGCCTTCTGGACCACTTACGTATTCAAAGCTTCGACATTCTTTTGATTCTAGCACCTCCAAGAGGCGTTGGAAGCAGCTTTGTCGGACCGGAAAGCCATAGCTGGTCAGCTGTCGATGGCCTGAAATCCTCATAGAGAGCTGATGTTGGAAAGCGTTCTACTCCCAACGTTGCGGGATGCTGTTGCCGAGATAAATCTTTAGAAGGTTGGCAGAAGCAAAAGTCAACCCGGGGTTCAACCCCCATTAAAGTTTATGGTGCATTTGGGGAATTGACCTTTTGCCGGTTTGGTTTTCATGCCATGAAACCAATCTTTGTCCCCATTGAGATTATTCAACTCGTAGCCATGGTGCTTGTATGTGGTTGGAATCCCAGGGTCAATGGGCTACTTGCCCCAACTTGGGGGCATTTTTCTGCTGTTTTCTCTGGTAAGTCTCTATGAGAGAGGAGTCTCTTTGTTTTTTTTGGAACCTTTGGTTGGTCCTTTGTTTTGCTGGAACCATTGGTGCTTGGTCGGCGTGTGGGGCCCCAATGTTGAACCAGCACTCCGGAAAAAAAAAAAAACCTCGGCAGACGGAGCTGGGCTCCAAGTGGAAGCAGCTGAACAAGCGCATCAAGGCGGGGTTGGCTTTCTCGGGGCCCTCGCGAGAGCTCGCTGTTCCCCGGAGCCCGCTTCATTGTGTGCCTCCGTTTCTCACCAAATCTTTTGGTTGGGAGGGTTCCCCTACTAAAATACACCCTTTCTCCAGCCATGGTGGTTGTTGGGACACATTCTGTGCATTTTTGCTGGTTGTGGTTTAGTGGGTGACATCCAAATCCACTGAACTGCTAAAATTTGGATTTGTGCTCCCCTTCCAACGTCATCCAAGTTTTGGGGAAACCAAAAAAAAACAGGCATCACTAGGAAGAGCTCAAGGCTACTCGGGCTCGGGCCCAAAGCCGCGGCGAGCTTTTGGGATGGCCGTGAGCATTCCTGAGGATTGTTCTGGCAAAGGTCTAGGATGTTTGAGCGGGCAAACGCCGCACTCACCAGCAACTTCCACTTGCTTAATAATGTATTTTTGTTGCCGCTTGTTGGGTTCAAAGGGAATCTATCACTACTTTGTTTTTTCTCCAAGGGGGCTTATATAAGCAAATGGAAGGCAAGGAGTCATGGTTTGTACCAGGGGTTGTTTTTTCGCGAGTTTTTCTCTGGAGTTCGCAGCTGGCGTTTTCGTCAGGACGCCAAGGAGTCCAAGGAGGCCGTCCCGGAAGGCGGCGGAACTTCTCGTTGGTCCTTTCGTCTTTTTGGCTCGTTGTTTTTGTCTACGCCGTTTTTTTGGGGCGTTTGATTTGGTCGTGCGTTTTCTTTGGTTCTGCTTCTTTCGTTTTCTTGTCTCCTCGTTTGCTTTGTCGCTCTTGGCCCGTTTTTCTCTCTTGCCCCGTCATCTTGTTTTGGAGACCACTTCCTTCCTTCTTCTTCCCTTTTCCCGCAGGCGTTGGGATCCCCGAGCAACCGCTGCCCGAAACCCAGCAAATCAGCAAACTTTCTCCCGCAAAAAAGTTGGGAGAGAAGGGCACTGGGGGACCTAGACACTTTCCAGATTGACACATTCTCCAGAGCCTCCTCCCTGACCCATGCGCCTCCCCCCAACCCCCCCCCCCCCCGAGTCGCCCGACTCACGACTCGACGCAGGCGCGCGCCGCAACTCCATGGAGCTGCAGCCGGCGCCGCCGGAGAAGGCCCCGGAGGACGGACGCCTCAGCCGCCGTCGAAAACGCGTTTTTCCGTTTCGGCGAGTGGGGCGAGTTGGGCCCAGGGAGTTTTTTTTGGGTTCAGTCGAAGCAGGCGCGCCAATTTTGGCCGCAGAAAACAGCCGTGGGGAGGCAGGTTTGTTTCGTTCCATGGTCTTGCGCGAGGGCTTTTTGGAGTTCCTGGTTTGGAAGGGGTGGCCAAGCAAAGCCACCGAACAGGAATCTAGGGTAAGAACAAATCCTGGCTGAAGAGGATGGTTTCCAATATGGGGGTCTCTCAAAATTCTGTGGCCGCGAAAATGGGTCTGCGAGCCAAAAAAAATGTCCATCCGCCGTTTCAGGTGGTTCTACTGCCTGGTTTGATAAGGGTTATAGCAAGGCCTGCAGAACTTTTGTGACCAGGTTAGTAGAACCAAGAGTCAATGGGATTTGGGCGGTGCTCAGTTAGCCGTATAGGAGGAAGGGTATGTCTCAAGTTGGGTGGTGGTCAACATCACAAATCACCGCTGAAGCGGGTTCAAGCAAGGGCATTCACGTGTTTTGAGCACGTGAATCAGCTACCTCTCCTCGTGGTTTTCCCTTTTGGGTTCTCCAACTGGTTGTTTTTCAATGGCAAAAAAGGGTTGGAGACCCCAGGAGTCCGAGGCGAGTCAGGGGTTGTGGTTGGAAAAAGACAGCGCGGAAATGGCAACAGGTGGTATGTTGCCTCGGGCCATTTGGAATGCTTTTCCCATCGAGGCATCATGTCTGAATCCATAAAATCCTGAAAACCCTAGGTGCATGTGGGAGCACTAGATGTCACTGGCAGAGAATCAAAAGCAGCTGAACACCGTGGAATCAGTCTTCAGTCGGACCAGAAAGGACGTCCTTTTGTGGTGTCCCTACTGTGGATGGACGAATTCCTGCACTTTGAAAAACGAGGCATACCATGGTTTCTTGGCATTTTTCCGGGGAATCGACTCATTCCGTAGGTTTTTTTTTGGCGCCTGAGAAACTGGATGCGCAGGAGGAAGCGGAGCCCAGCGTGCCCAAGCTGGCGGAGGCGCTGGTGAAGTACTTCGGGTCCCTGCGCCCCGGATCTGCGGCACTGAGCTTGGGGTTTTCTGCGCCTTGGGGAAGCCTCCCCCAAAAGAAGGGGGCAACATGGCGCAAAAGTTGTTTTTTTGTTTTAACGAAACAAGTGATGACAAGGGAGTGATGTTGACCCCATATGAATCAACCCCAGTGTATTGATGAATAAGAAAGTGGGGGCCCCTACAAAAGTGGTCGGGGTCCCCACTAAACCCAGTGATGCTTCCATCAGGGCACGCCCCTTATCAAGAAACTGGGGTTGATTCATACTGTGGATGGTTGCGACATCCTCAATTCGGCACCACCTGAAAAACCGACGGGGCGATTCGATTTTCCTGGAAGTACCAACAAACCATGGTTTGCTATGGTTTCAAAGTGTTGCAGGATGTCGTCCACCCACCGTATTTTTAGGGGGACACCCCCCTCCCCCAAACTTTCCTTGCAAGTGTTCGTTCAAAACCGCCCAAACATCAATAGCCCTCAGAAAAGAGAGAGAGAGAGACACCCGTTTGGCTTGTTCATCGAGTTTCGGCCGAGAAGACACACCCATGTCCAGTATCTATCACGTGCTGCTGGCTGGGATTCTGGGAAGTGATTGCTCACCAGAATCAACAGTGTGGGGTTCCCCACAACTGGGTGTGTCTTTCTTTCAGGGCCCCCCCAAAAAAAACGGCTGCCATTGTCCTTGTGGAACTCCTTTCGACCACAAAGAAGCCCTCCCCAAGCGTCGACCGCTCGCTGGAGTGCCGGAAATCCGTGCACCTTCTCCAGCAAGTGCGAAGCCAGGGAACCGCTTTGGGCAAAAAAAAGCAAAGCCCAGGCAACGACTACTTGGCTCTATGTCAAAAGAAGGGGACCCAAAATAGGTGCTTTCCTTTTGGCTGCCCAAAGAAAGTACTCTCAGCCAGCGACATCTCCCATCTCTTCTTTCTGCAGATGAAGAGGGAAGAAAGACATCCAGTTGGTCGAATTACTTTGGTCCTGCCCAATAGTCGGGGCCTGCACGAGCTCTGGTCGGGAGGGTGGGGTGTTCGTGCGGTGGGGGGGGAATAAATGGTTTGGCGGTTTTTGGTGGTTTGATGGTTGGTTAGTTGGTTCAGTGGATCATATTGGAAGCTGGAGACATTGCCAGCTGTTCGCGGTGAGGGAGGTGGGCGGGGCGCTTAGGGTTGGCTTTGGGCTGAATTTGCATGAGTTCCGGAAATGATTTGCGCGGGCTCAGGGTTTGATTGAGGGCCGATGTATCTTGCATTTCCGCTGGTTTACGGCAGATTGCAAGCCAAACAGCATCCCGCCGGTTTTCCGACCAAAAAGCGTGGCCAGATAGGTACTTGAGGCACCTCTTTGGGCCTCTCTTCGCCCATGTTCCCCCAACAAAGCTCCAAGCCCATCTTATCCGAACCGAAACACGAAACAGATAGACCCCCACGTGGGCACGCGGGCACATCAACTTGTACCCAACGCGCTGCAAGTTTGGCCAGTCATACCCTATGCCTCCATTTTGGGGCGGATGAACTCCCTTTTTCCTCGCCTATTTCGATGTTCACCAGGGATTTCTCCCGGGTTTAGACCACCACAGCCATTTAATTCTCCAGTCCAATCGAGGGGCCGTGCCTTCGAGCACTGGGACTTCGCCAAGAAAGGCGCCGATCGGCGATCTCGAGCTCTGGGAAAGGGGAAACCACGAGTGAAGCCGCGGGTTCTCTTGGGCTCCTTAAAAGATCTCCATTTTGCAACCATTTGAAACATGGCTTTTTCCACCAAAATGAAGGGACACCACCATCTACAAGTTGCAATCTTCGGGTGTTTTTCATGCATCCGGATCCCTGTTTAAAGCCGCTAGTTCAGGGGGGGCTCGATTTCGAGTGCGTCCTTCGGCTTCCAAAGTCCTAGTTTCCAGGGTGCCTTCCAAAGGTCCCCAGCCCTGAACGCTCGAGCCCGGAGCCCGGGACGTGGCCTTTGGTTCCCGGAGAGCCTTGGGACGCGAGCCAGGTGCCTTCGGGATTGGCCATTCCCAAACAGAAGCTCCCCGCCAAGATGGGGGCGGGGGGCTGACTAGCGGAAGACGGAAAATCCAGGGAAAAGTCCCAAAACAACATGGGACAAATTCCCAAAACAAATCGGGACCCCTTACTAACTATAGAAGATGAGGACACCCCTCGGGTCACATAGCCGCTCATTTCCAGTACAGGCGCAATTCTCTATGGTCCCCGAGTCTTGGCTTTTTTGGGACGCTCCTGGCTCTTAGGTGTAGCCGCGAAGACACGTTTTCGGGAGTCGCCGATTTTCTGAAACCCTTCCTTGTGGGTTCTGCCAAAGCATCAGGCCATCTCTTGGACTGCCCCTTTCCTCTTGGAGTGTTCACAGTTGGGGGGGGTTTGTGAGAAACGCGGCACATGTCAGAGCGACAGTTTGTGACCACTGCTTCAATGCAATGTGTGACCGGTGGAGTTTAGTACCTTCAGATACCTTCGGATTCTGTTTGCTGAAAGGCCTGCGCTGGAGGTGGGTGTCGCTCTTATGTCCCACCCCGCTAGGGGCTGAACTTCAGAAGGACATCTGAGTTCACACCGGCCCCCACCTTGGTTGCAGTTCAAAGTGCGAGACACGGTGCATTACTCCTCCGATTCCCCGGCGTTCTTGGCCAGCTCCGTGTACGGTCTGCAAGTCGCTTGGCTTCTCTTTGCTTTGACTCTCAATCTCTGAACCCTTTGCACGGCGTCATTTGCCGCGACAAGTCATTCCGGGCTTCTGATCAGAATTAGGCCCCGCGTGCATTTCACAAATGCCGTGGAGACTTTTGAACAACTCAGGGTCCACCCATAAAACTGGTAGGTTCTCTTTTGGTTTCCCTTTGATTCACACACACGGGGTGTCCTCATTTTGCTTTTCCGGAAGCACCCGAGCAGGCAAGTTCACGCGCGCACAGTTCTATGCTGGCTGCGCCAGTGTGAGGCGCGCGAATCGACCCCCGCGACAAAACAACCCAGTAAATATGGGGCTAGGAAATCCGCACGGTTCCCCCCCGCCTGGAGTTGAGGAGGAGCGAATTTGGATATGTCTGTTGTTGAAATGATCATCTACTTTTTGCTGGAGTAGAAACAGAACCGCCATGCAGATGGGGGAAGTTAGAAGAGAGACCTGGTGCAAACCGTTACCATCTTCCAGCAGTTCAATTCGGATTGTAGTACTAGCTAGCGTGCAGCTTGTCTTCGCGAAGAGGGGCGATTCCGACCAGGATGAACAGGTTTCCGGAGCGTTGATGGCAAAGTCACTCTCTATCCATGCAGATGGCATGGGACTGTTGCACCGCCAACCAGGTCCTTGGTGTTTTTTTTTTTTTTTTTTTTTTTTTTAAATGACTACATCTTTCCGCCGTCCGCAGAATCCACGAACAAATCGGAGGCACCTTTTCGCTTCATCGAAAAATCTGAGCGGATTGTGGCCGGTCGGTTTTCCGCTCTATGGCCTGCAGGGTTTGTTTTCAGCCGACAATGCTGGGGTCCCGACCCCGAAGGCCGAAATGGGACGAAGCAGAACGCAAGGAAATGTTCGAAGGGGCTGAAACCGATGTTAATCGAACAGTCAGTCAACATTTGGTTGATTGCACGGGCCACAACTGGGGCAAGTGCTTTTGGGTAGCCTCCGAGTCAGACCGCTTTGGTTCTCAGACCGTTCTTGTTCCGAATATTCGGTAGTTCCCGTATCAAGCTCCTTGGGTAGCTTCCGAATAAGGACGGTTCTAGTTTCCGAACAATTTGTAGGGCTCTTTAGGCAGTTTCCGAATCAGGCCGCTTTGGTTCTCCGCCTTTTTAGTTTCCAAAAAACATGTAGTTCCGAATCATGTCCTTTTAGTTTCCGAATCAGAGCATACTATTTCCAAACAACGTGTACTTTCGTCACCATGCCTTTCCAGCTTCCGAATCACACCGGTTGTTTCAGTTTCGGATCAATTGTTAGTTAGTTTTGGATAGTTGTGGAAGTCTGTTTTGTTGGTTAGTTGTGGTTGTTAGTTTTGGAAGAACACCTTTCAGTTTCCGAAATCAGATCGTTTCGAATAAGACCGTTTTAGTTTCAAAATGAAACGTTTCACCGTGCACCAGGCAACCCTCAATGCGCTGCTGAGCGGGGATTCGAATTGGAAGGTCGACAAACCACCTCATTTTGACTCGGGTGGTGCCTGGGGGGGGAGATACAGATACTGGGGGGGGGGGGATACCGCCTGGGCGGGGGGATACCGCCAGGGGAGCGGAGAGGGTGGGAAGATACTATGCAGTTTTACAATCCCAGATGGGTGGATTCCGGCCTTTTTCCCTTTTGGCGCCCCTTTGCTCGGTGCCTTCTCATTTTGGCGTCTTGAGGTGTTTGTGTATCCACAAGTTCCTCCAACCTGGTTTCGTGACTCACCATCCCAGATGTGCGGATGTTCCGGCCTTTGTCCCTTTCAGCCGGTCCCCCCCCTTTCTGGAAAAATTCGGGACGCGGGACCTCTCGGAGGCTGAACTTTCGGCAGATCTCTGGGGTCACGGAGCGTGACATCTTCAAGCGGATGGAGGAGGCAGAGGCGGAGGGGCCCAAGGATTCCGTGACCCGGGAGCCCCTCGTTCCGCGAACGGGGGGGCATGCGGGGCATGCGGGGCATGCGGGGCATGGGGGGAATGGAATGGGGAATGGGGGGAAAGGGTGGAATGATGATGTTGATCCCGGATCTAAGCAAAACCCGAGGTTTGACAAATCCGGGGTCCCTATCAAGAGGTTGAACCCTGATTTTGATAGGTATCCCATGGGAGGATAGTTTGGCTGGAAGGGGCTTGGAAGCGAGGTTGAGAGTGAGCTAGAGTGATCTTAATTAACTAAAGGTACGATGATCATCCACCTGCAAAAAATCGGATTTTGGAAGGGCTCGTTTGGCCCTGCCATGCTCAGGAAGTGGGACAAATTCTTCGAGGGGGTGCTGCAAGGTACGCAGGCAAAAGGGCGGGGCCGGCAAAATCGACCTGCCCACCGGCCGCCTTATGGGCCTGTCCATACCCAACCTTTTGGCTTTTCTAAGTGAGAAACCAAAGGGCAAACAGGCAATACACATACACACATACAGACACACATACACACATACACACATACACACATACACACATACACACATACAGACACACACACATACACACACACACACATACACACACACACATACACACACATACACACACATACACAGATACATACACACACATACACACACATACACACACACACATACACACACATACACACAGGTACACACACACACATACACGCACATACACACACACATACACACATACACACACATACACACACACATACACACACCCAAATACACACATACACATACACATACACATACACATACACATACACATACACATACACATACACATACACACACATACACACACATACATACATACATACATACATACATACATACATACATACATACATACATACATACATACATACATACATACATACATATACACACACATACATACATATACACACACATACATACATACATACATACATACATACATACATACATACATACATACATACATACATACATACATACATACATACATACATACATACATACATACATACATACATACCCACATACATACATACATACATACATACATACATACATACATACATACATACATACATACATACATACATACATACATACATACATACATACATACATACATACATACATACACATACACATACACATATACATACACATATATATATATATATATACATACACATACGCTTTATTGTATATATATACACATATTATTATATATATAATATCACATTGTAAAAACTAAACGTAAGATACTATAACATGTTATCATATCATATCGTATCACATACTGCATGCATACTGTATTATATTCTATTATATTATAATATAAATACAATACATTATATACACTATATTATATTATATTATAATACATTATAATACAATATAATATATATATTATATTATATTACATCACGTTGTATATAAGCAATATACATACATTATATTATACACATTATACACATTATATTATGAGACAACATTATATAATACATAATAATAAGTATTGTATACATTACATACATTATATACATTACATACATTATTACGTACATTGCATGCGTTGCATACATTGCATACAGTACAAACATACACACATACATACATACATACATACTTACATACATACATACATGAACACATACACACATAAACACATACACATACATACACATGCATACACATACATATACATACACATACTTACACATACATATACATACACATTCATACATACATATACACACACACGCGCGTACATACACACACACACATACATACGCAAACATACACAAACATACACATACATACATACACACACACATACATACGTACGTACGTACGTACGTACATACTCATGGATACACAAACATACACGTACATGCATACACACACATACATACATACGTACATACATACATACAGACATACAGACATACAGACATACAGACATACAGACTGACAGACTGCAGACATACAGACATACAGACAGACATACATACATGCAGACATACAGACATACACATACTTACACATACATACACATACATACACATATACACATTTCAAGATATGCGCACAGCATATACGCATATACGCATATACGCTATTGCATATACACAGATACACATTTACACATATACACCTATACACATATGGACACATGGACATATACACATATACACATCACATGTATACGCATACACATCTACACAAATACACATACAGATGCACATATACATTCGTATGTACATACGTACGTACCGTGCGCACTGTACGGTCCGTCTGTACGCAACGTACGTACGTGCGTAACATACATACACACACACAGGCAGACAGACAGCCAGCCAGCCAGGCAGGCAGGCAGACAGGCAGGAAGGCAGACAGTCGGACAGACAGGCAGACAGATATGCATGCATTCAGACATGCAGACATACAGACATACCGACGCGCACATACAAACATATTCAGGTACTCACATACACACATACGCACAAACACACATCACATACATCACATACATCACATACATCACATGCATCACATGCATCACATACGTACATGCATACATACGTACATGCATACATACGTTCATGCATACATACACACATACAAGCAAACATACAGCATGCATGCATTCATGCATGCGTCAGTGCGTGTACAATAATGCCAGTCGAAGTCAAATGAAGGTGCAACTTACACTTGAAGCCTTGTAATTTAAAACTTGCAACCAATATGCTGAAGTTGCATTTTCCTGGATGTTTGAAATGTGTTTTCATTCCTTTTAAGGAGCTGAGCAACAACCAGTCAGTCTTTCCTCACTAGGTTTGGTTCAAATTCTAATTCAAAACAATAATTCCAATTGAAGTCGAATGAACATCCTTCTGAACCTTGACGTCTTGTAATTAAAAGCTTGCAAACCAATGGGCTGACATTGCAATCCCTTGCTTTCTTTCTCGGGGCAGGCAAAGTAGAAGACACATCCCGCTTGTTTTCCTTGCTAGATGTTATTTTATTCTAATCGAAATCTAGTGTTATTTCGACTTGGAAAGGAACCCCCATTTAACATCTAATTTGGTTTCAAATTGAAGTCTAATGAAAGTCCTGCTTAAACTTGCTTAAACTTAACGCCTTTGCAGTTTAAAACTTGTAAACCAACAGCTGGAATTTGCACATTCCCTGGAGTTCCATTAATTCTCACTCCTTTGAGGGGCGGCCAACTTAGAAGAAACGACCAGTGGGTTTTTTCCTCATTAGATTCTATTTAGATTGTAGCTGAATTCTAAAACAGACTTACTTGGAAGGGAGTTCTTGTGAACTCAAAATGCAATTCTAGCTACACCATGTCACTAGAAGGAGGTTGTCTTTCCATGAAGATGCAGGCAAATTACTAGAAGTCGCCGGCGAGGACAGGACAGATGCTTGCAGTGGATGGCCTTGTCCAAAAACCTGGAAAACAGCACCGGAAACACAGGAAAAACACGGACCAGAAAAACAAGTAAAAGAGCAAAGCAACAGGATCCTTCAGAAGAAGGGCCCTAAACCAGAAAAAGAACCGAGAAAACCAGCAAAACCGGGGGGCAAAAACAAAAACAGAAACCAGGGTCCTACAGAAGAAGTAGAAAGCCAGGGTTCCCAGAAAAAGGAACCCAAACCAGAAGCACAGGAAAACAACAGACAACGCAGAACAAGAAAAAAAGACTGAAACACTAGCAAAAACAGGACAACCAGACAACTAGGGTTCTCCAGAGGAAGGGTAGCTAGTTCCAGCATTTGGACCCTAGTTTTCTGTTCTTGCGGTCTTTTTGTTTTCTCCTCCCATTTCTCATCTTTTTTCCTTCAGTGATTGGCCTTTTATTCTTTTAAGCAAGCTTTTCTGGTTTAGGGTGGGGGGACACCGTATATACATACGTATATATATATATATATATATGTATACACATGGTATAAATGTTTTCAGAGTGGGCAATCTCCGGCACCCGGCCCCTTTTGCCATGCTCAGCACCTGTTGGGGCTCGCAGGAGGCCGAGCTGCTCACGGCAGACATGGGGTCAGAGGCTGGGTCTGCGAGTCCCCCGAGAGGGAGAAGCACAAATCGCAGCCGGGTCAAAACCGTTTTGGTTGATCCCATTTTGGTAGGTGAATTCGCCACCCATTATAGAACCGATTTTCGTGGTTGGATTGGGATGTTCACTGGGGGTACGATTTGGCTTTTGACCCATGGCCAATTCGTCACGCGGTCTTTGCGGATGCTGGGGGATGTTGTCCGCGGCCCCTAAAGCATTCGGTGTTGACCCGAGGCTTGTTGACAGCCGTTCGTGCGGTGGGCTGAAATTTGTTGCGTCATGATTTGGGAGCCAGTCTCGTGGCCATTTGGACTGCAGGCGCATTTCACTGTGTGAATGGGTACAACGTGATCAGCATCTCCAGCATGCTAGTGGCTGCAGGACTTCGCTATGTAAATAAATTGCACAACAAACAAGAGACAGTGGAAATGCTTGCTCTCCTGCCAGCAACCCTCCCCGATTCTGCCTTGCTGAGGATAGTGGCGCATGCCTGCCCTTTCCGTTGTTTACAAGCTGCCTTCTTTGGCGGATCCGTCTCCGGGCCGCGGATCCCGCACAAAACACCAGTTGAAGTGTGGCCTCAACCCAGTTGCCACGGGTTTTGCTAGCGATCCTTGAGCCGACATGACTTTGAGAAGCCACAAGCATCACGAATTTAACGATCTCACTGCTGGGCACTTTTTGAAAGCAACTCCATTCAATTTGGGTCCATTTCAATTAGGACCCCCTTTGGATGGTTTCAATCTGACACTCACTCCCTGGGTTTCTGGACTGAACTTTTCGGCAGGGCCATTTTAGTGGTAAAAAACAGCAGGGCGACTCTCTTTGGGCCCATCCGCTCAGGAAACGCCGTGGGGAGCATTTCCAGTTTTGTTGTTTTCGGACATGTTGGGCAGATTTGGAAATGATGGGGATCCCTTTGCACGAAAGGTAGCCTTTTGGTGGCTACCATAAGTACTTCCTTGCGCTAGCAAGGTCCCTGTCAGGGGTGTGTGGGGGCGGGGGTCCCCTTCTTTTCGGACACCAAAAAATAAGAGCCCTGGGCAGATTTGGAAATGATGGGGACCCCTTTCTGGACACCATCAAAAAAAACCCGAAACCCCGATGGATGTTTTTTTGGGCTCCATCTTTGTCGAGGCCGCGCATTCCGCAGGTGGAGAAGCGGCTGGAGGAGCGGCGCAAGGCGGGGCCCCAGCCAAAATAGCGAGCCTCGCCCGGAAAGCGAGTGACGGTGACGAGTCCGAAAGGGGGTTTTCGGGGTTCC